ACAGACAGACAGACAAACAGAATGAAACTTTTCCGGTCAGTGGAGTAATGGGCTTCGCTAATCGCTCAGCCAACTAACGATAGCTAATAACTAACAAAAAATCGTAATAGTAAGAGATCAAGTGCACCCAGAACCTTAAGAAAGTTGTGTTTCAACCCAAAATGTGTGGTTTTAGGAGGTATTCATTCCCTCTACAGCTTTTCGATATGCACACTTTAATACGACTTAAATCGCTATTTGGTAATTTTCGGCTTATTTTCGTCAAGAAATGCCCTTTAGCACCCAAACAGTACAAGAATAGAGCAAAGCGAACGAAATTTTTGTCCTAGGAATTCTACTTTATCGTGTTGCCCCTTAGAAGCGCATAAACAAATATTTTTTAAAATATACATTTTCCAGCCTGTTGGTTCTGATTTTTTTGAGGTGTGAATTTTTTAGCTAGATTGCTGACCTTTGAACTGAGTCTGTCTTGTTCTGATACAAAACCGACCCTGAAAGTCCCAGATGTCTATCTCAAATCCTTCTCAAGAAATCGTGCATACAAACAAGGGAAAAAAAAGATGAAACTTTGTTGGTCAGTTGAGTTATAGGCTTCGCTAATTGCTTAGCCAAAAAGATAATTCCATGGCAAAGTCTCTATTCTCTCCGCGTCTTGCAAAACACTTCTGTTCTATTTCTCTTTCATGACAATTGATCAAAGCCTGCTGAAAACCGTGAGATAAATTGGTCTGAAGTACCTCTCCTTGCAAAATGTTGTGGCTTCTGCGGGTGTCGCTTCGTGCTTCCACTCATACTCGTTCAAGCATCCAGGTACCTCGGAGCAATCAGTTGCTGTAAAGGCAAGCAGAGGAGCAGCAGCCTGCGCAGAGAAAATGTACATGTATGTTAGCGTGCACTTTTTGTCGCAGTTCGATTTGGAGCTAGATGAGGCCCGAAACACAACCAGTAGAGGTGGAAAAGAGAATAAGGCCTGAGCGACAGCGCTGCTTCCAGCTCCCGCCGCTAGGGCGCAGCAAGCTACGAGTCCACTAGATTGGGAATACAACGATCCGATACGAAATTGGTTCAGTCGCTCTATTTACGAAAAGAATAGTCTGTCTCGGACCTCTTTTTCTCCCTGAATTTCACCTTAACACAGATTCAAAGCTCACCATGTAGAACACGTTTATTTTCTAGAAAGGCCACAAGTGTTTACTATTCGTTAAAATTTTTGCATAAGTGGTGGATCCAGGAAAACTCGCCCAAATGATTATCACGTCCCGGGTCAAAGTCATCCTATGCCCTTTTAGGTGCCACCCGTTTAGGTGCCGGCTAACTCGTCCCCAGTTATATGAGAAAAAAGTTCAAAATCGCTCGTCTCTATTGCAAAGTAGCTCGCACGGCGCATCGACGCCAGATAAAGTACGTGATTCCGCGGAGCCTCCGTCAAAGCACGCACACCAGTCCGGCGCAGGCGAAAGCACGCACAGTTTTAGGCGCTGGCGAAGCCACGCAACTCGATTCTTGGGGTGATTTTTAAGACCCTTTACCGTTGGAAAGATGGCGTATCCCTCTTCCAGAATATATAGTTACCTGAAATTTTTCGAAAAACATTGATACGTGTTTTCACCAGCGCCTAAGAACTTTGCGTGGTTTCGCCAGCACCGGACCGCTTACAGTGCTTTGAAGGAGGCTCTGCGGAGTTTCGTGGTTTCGCCAGCGCCGAAGCACCGTGCGTGATTTGCAATAGGGACAAGCGATAGAGTACCCTCATATTAAACTACTACTTTGTCCCTCAAAATTGTGAGGAACTGTAACGCGATTCCGCTTATTTTGAAATCCTTCTGAAATTACTATTACATTTTAGTGAAATCCTTCCAATATTAAGCACCTCTGAGGACATCAGATACACTGTATTTGTGTCTTTTAATACACAATCGAAATAGGAGAGAGAAATAGGTGCGCTATAGCGCCTTGCAGTGGATCAGGGAGTAGCAGCGAGTCGCTGTACCGTTTGACGTCGTAGAATATTTGGAACAGCTCATCGCACAAGATATTATGCTGGGAACGGCTCATCTCGCAAGAAAACCGAGATAAAATTGAGAAAGGACTGTTTTGCTCAAGGAAGTCTACTTTTTAAAAAAATGTTGACGCCCAACTGCCGTTGATGCATCTCTGTTAAAAATTCTTGGGACTTCCCGAAGATTTACTTTCCACCACTATTAGAAATACTCAGGGGACTCCGTCCTTAGTTTTTGTGTTCTAAAACAGATGTTAAAGGTGGAAGTTTTCATTCGTCTATATGTTTCAAAGCTAAACTTGACACGTGTAATCTACAGAGTTCTTTGGGAAATCCCAAAGGACTTTGCCAATACTTTTCACGAGTGTTCCTCCGTGAAATCCCAGGATTTTTTTCTAGCTGTGGGTAAGAAACAACACGTCAGACGTAGCGATCCACGCGCGAGCCCTTGCTTTCCCCTCAAGTTTTGATTGATTTTGGATCGACTTGTTTAGCTTTGTGTGGATAATTTCTTGTGATTGAAGAAGACAATTCTGACTCTGACCGGTATTCTTTCAGTTTTAAGACTAAAAACCGTGTGATGATATCTGTGTTCATATTAATCAAACATTCCACACTCTGATGACGTGTATACACATCGATTCGGCCACTTTTCGTCAGCATCGTGACATGCTAACAGTCTCGCGCTAACCGTTTCTAAACAATTCAATGTTTTTGTACGAACGGAACGGCGACCAAAAGAAAACATTTACAGCTGTAAAATAAATGGAGTCACACCACCGAAAAGTGGCTCAGATTCTGCAATAAAACACTAAAAAAGCAGGGATGCCACATGGATCGCAGAACTCGCTTGCCGCTACCCGCTGAGTTGATGTAAGACAACTCAGCGGGATTATCGCACTTCGATCCGAGTAAGGACCGAAGGAAATCAAAAATACCTATTCTTTGGACAACCCTACTGCGGGTCCTGCTTCGCTTGTCCCTATTGCAAAGCCCGCACGGCGCTCCGGCGCTGGCGAAACCACGCAACTCCGCGGAGCCTCTGTCAGCGAAACCACGCAATTCGATTTTTCGGTTGATTTTTGAGACCTATCCCGTTGGAAAGAGGACGTTCCCCTCTTCCACAATATATTGTTATCTCCGATTTTTTTTTGAAAAACATCGATACGTGGTTTCGCCGGCGCCAGACCGCTGTGCGTGCTTTGACGGAGGCTCCGTGGAGTTGCGTGCTTTGCAAAAGGGACAAGCGGCTTGTTTTCTCGAGTTTTTACGGAAAATGCCATTAAGATGAAAAGTAAGGATTACCAAGAGTTGCAGCCCTTCGACAATTCTTGGAAACAAAAAAAAAAGGACCCTGATGGCACATTACTATTATGTTTTTCTTGGTACTCACCACCAGCAGCAGCGAAACCACAAAAATTGGTGTTGTAGCGAACATCTTGTGCGCGTGAAAGCTGTTGTTGTGGTCTCTTCTTTTAACTGACATGACCGAAGGAGAATGAGTGAGTGCAATAAGGAGTCGTGACGAACCAAAATGAAGGAGATAAAAAAAAACACGAACAAGTAACGTGGATGTCGCTGTGTGCACAAACAACTCGTACGCAAAAAACGAGGGGTGAACATCTCGTGTATTCCTCTGTCCCGGGGTCCTGTATTACTTTGTATTACCTGATATTACTTGTATTCCGTGTATTACCATGTATTACCTTGTATTATTTTGTATTACCTTGTAATACCATATATTACTTGCGCAATATTACGCAATATTTACCTTGTATTACGTTGTAATACTTTATATTATTTGTATTACCAAGTATTACTTGTATTACTCGTAATACCTGTAATACCTTGTAATACCTTGTAATACTTCGTAATACCTTTGATATATATTTTGTAATTCATTGTAATACCTTGTATTACCTTATAATACTTGTAATACTTTGATATTATCTGTAATACTCGTAATTTGTGTATTACTCGTATTCCCAATATTACCCTTACGAAAATAATCAGTACCCAAACAGTCCCCAAACGGTCTCATTTAGTCCCCAAACAGGACCCATTCAGTACGTTCGCTGTGAGACTAGTGCGCTGCGAGGTCCGTTGAGCTGTGGGACTAGTGCGCGTTATTGTACGCTTCATCAGCGCCCTAGGACCCACGCAGTACCCTTCCCGAGCGCACTAGTCCCCAAAGAGTGACCGTCCCGCGCGCACTAGGGTGCGTTTAGTACTCATCGAAGGGGACTGGGGCGCAAAGAGGACGCGTCGCACGGGACTAGGGCGCTTTTGATACTCACTGGAGAGGCCTAGGGCTCAAAAGAGTACGCGCGCCGTGGGACTAGGGCTCAGACAGTACGCGTGCCGCGGGACTAGGGCTCAAACAGTACCCGTACCGAGGGACTCGCGCTCAAACAGTACTATGCAAGACTAGTAATATAGGTGGCGTAGGGACTCGACAGAACCTTCGAGCACATTCGGCAAAGACCCAATAATATCGCAACTCGCTTAACAACTGAGGATTAATTTACGCGGGGTCTATGATATTATAGTGGGGCAATTCCAGAAAAAATGGTTAAAAAAACGTCCGTCAGACGACATTTGTGAGAGGTGCTACGGGTTGTTGAAGTTAGAACATGACTAGACGAGTCTTTGCAAGACGCTTCTAGGGACGTATTGCAACAATACGTAGCACCTCTCAACCTCTCAGTCGCTCACAAATGCCGTCACTGACGGACACCCCTATCTGGAATTGCCCAGTGGTCATATCCCAAAGGTTTCGGAATTTCCTGTCTATAAGGGGGTCGTTTGCCTTGTTCCATTTGATACTATTAGTGAAGCAAAGATAAAAGTCGCGATTTTGATCGTTTTAAAATAATTCAATAGAAATAACGACATAAAATTAAAGATAAGATGCACTTTTTAAGCCCTACGCGGGCCTGTGCTTCCTGCCCACAGAGAGAGAGAGTGCAAAAAGTGTCGCTACTCTTTGTAGACTGCTGACAAACATTAATTTTACGTCATGCACATGGACCCGCCAGAGGAATAGTTACCTATTTGACGAGATAGTAGTGAGGTGAGCTTAGACAAAGATATATTTCAGCATAAGGGGCAAAAGCGCTGTAGCGCCCTTAAGCTAGAGTCGAAAACTGCGTTCTTCTGCGCGCAGCCGTTCGCCCACACGAGCAGGCGCAAGGACTGCGTAGACTGCGTCCCGAAAGAGGAGGCTGTCGGTTGCGCTCCATCCCCATGTTACAGGTTGGCTCAGCGGTCTAAGGCGTCGACATCACCGGCAAGGAATCCGAGGAACCAGAGGACAAGCTTAACGAATACGACCGAGCGCACATACGGAAATGGGACTAGTACGCAAAGAGTCCTCGCGGCGATCTTTTTGGGTTTCAGGAAAAAGGGGACTAGTACGCTTTTAGGACGCTCGGCTCGGCGCACGGTCACTGTTTGCGCACTAGTCCCCTCACAGTAAGGGACGGGACCAGGGCACATGGAGTACGTTTTTTCGTCACTTTTGGGAGTGTTTGAGACCAGTCCCCATGCGCCAGGACTAGGACCCAAACAGTACGCTCGTGGGGACTGAATGGTCCCTGTTTGGGGACTGTTTGGGTACTGATTATTTTTGTAAGGGTACTTTGTAATATATTCATCTGTCCCCGGCTCAGCCGAGTTGTTCACCCCTCGGCAAAAAAGTTACTTTAGAATGTCTCGAGCCGAGACAAACGGGAGACACACGGAAAAAAGAATTAGTTCTCCCATGGAGTAGAAGGGGAAGGAGAGGCAACGACGGGTGGGCCAAGGCCTGCAGAGCCCAATGTGCGGCTCATTTTCTCCTAAACGATTCCACCTATTTAAAATCCGAAAGCAGCATCGGATAGGGGAAGGTCGATTGTATGGGCGCGTAAAGTTTCAGCTCGATCCGTCCACACCCTTCCGCCTCAACGCCGAGCTGTCCGCCGCGCCCTAGTCATTCGGCAGCCCTTATGAAAATATATCATTCCGAAACTAGCCCGAAGATCGGGCAGCTCGCGGAACAGTCCGGACGTATCGGACTACTCCGAAAGTACGCCGAAAAAGAGAGAAAGCAGAAAGATTCTGGAACTGTCCGAAGCGCGCGACCGGGTAGCTTTCGGAACAGTCCGAGATGAACGATGAATTACCTGGGTGAATAGGAGTGAAACTTTGTGCACAAAGTTCTCTGAAGATATCGCTTCGATTATTGGCTGTTGAACTTTCTCCAAAAATCGGATTACTAGTAGCACGCTGCAAAGGAATATTTTGGTATCCAACCTGCTCGAAAACAGTTTTTGTTGACACTGCTTGCAGTACAGTAGAAGCATCTAGGGAGAAAGGTTTACTGTTAATTATTACATACAATTTCTTGAAACTTAATGTAA